TCGTAGAAGCAGTCCTGCAGATATGTGGCAAAAGGTAAGTCAGCTTGGCACCATCTTTCACAAAGTCTACAGTTTTCTGAAACCTAGAGGATCTGGGATGGATCCAAACATGGAAAAGGAAGGCTGTCAAAGAAGTGCAGCAATGTGTGGTGCTGAATGCAAGGATATTTTCAGCCTGGCTAACAAAGGTTCAAGTTGTCACTCAACGCATCTGTCTGGGTATCAGTCTCCAGTCATTTTTAAACCTGTTGGTTAATGTTACTTCAAATAGTGAGCATAATATAATAGCATATCATACAATATCTTATAAGGGAGTATCACCCATCTCAGTATGATATAGTACTGTGCACCACATTGCAAAGCAAAGCATGGCAATCTAAACTGCAGCAGCTCATAGTGCAACATGCTGCAACATAATGCATTTCCCAAATGAAAGTAGTCCTGCATTGTCTTAAGGCCTTCTAGAGGACACAGTCATTGAGAAGGATGGAGATGGGGAGGGACAAGAAGTCTTTGTCATATGTGAAACCTAACTGCTGAGAATCGGGAAACAAAGTTAGTAAATTCTCTAATGCAGCCTTGCTTCTGCCCATTTCAGCAGATAAGCCAATACACCACTAATCTACACACTTGCACCCTACCAATATGCCTTGTCCAGAGAATAGGATAGTTATAATTATTGCAAGCACTGTTACAAGTTCTATCAAGCAAACCTTGTCTGGGGCGTGAGGCACAGAGTTGAGCTGCCTGCACTTGTTCTAGTCTTGAAAACCTGGATTCCCCCACTGACACCCCCTGCTTCATTTTTACCCAGATTGCCACTGTCCTTTCACTTGCCGTCTTCCTTTTGTGTTCCCTTGGATAATACAGCTAAGACCTTTTAAAGGAGGGTAATGAACCAATGCTAAAATAGCGGATATTCTGTTGACTGTGTATTGACTTGAGATACAGGGTTCAGCTTCAAGCCTTGCTCCAAATACCACAACACATGGTCCAGAAGCTGAATATCAATGTACCAAATGTACTTTCTTATTAGCTCCTTTGGGCAGTTGTTTCTTTTTATCTTTTTTTCAGTCCCTAATTCCACCTGGAACTGAAAGTCTTCCCTGACAAACTGTTGGCAATGTGGTATGTCTATGTGAAAAGCTGTGATTTCAGTAAGTCCACATTTTTGGAGAAAAATATTTCATTTGAAAAATAAGCGACCAACTCTACTGCTTTTACTATTGTTCCCTCTATTGTCTAACAGGCAATGGTCTTCCCACCATTTTACTATAAACCAAAATACAGTATATTTCCATAATTTCCATATTTCCCCCCAAAAAAACAAACACAAAAAGTAAAGAAAAAAGTAGATTTTAATCTTAGTCTGAGCATAGCTGCAGAGCAGTGTTGCTTAATACCCTGAAAAAATGAAGGATGAATTCAGAAAATCATAATTTAAACCATTTTAAACAGCAATATTTAGTTTTGTTCCTATCATCCGTCACAGCAGAAGTGTCAACATTATTAGAGGTAGGCTCCTTTAACTATCCTTACACATGAACACTGGCAGAAGTAGCTGTTCTTCAAATGCTGCCTTTCTCCCTCATCAATCCCTCATTTTGAGGAGATATAAATCTGTTGTCTAGGCTTTTTATTGTCACTGCAGGCATGAATCTCTTGTCTTAACATATACATAAATAGCTATTTTAGACAGCCTAGTGACTGAAGATATCCACACAGAGCTGACAGAGATGAGACAGGCATGGCAGGAAACCCGTGCCCTCCTGGAGCAGCAGGTGAGGCCAGGTGAAATACAAGTGGGCATCTCAGATAGTGTGGCCAGCAGGAGTAGGGAGGTGATCGTGCCCCTGTACTCAGCACTGGTGAGGCCACACCTCGAATACTGTGTTCAGTTTTGGGCCCCTCACTACAAGAAGGACATTGAGGTGCTGGAGCGTGTCCAGAGAAGGGCAACGAAGCTGGTGAAGGGTCTGGAGAACAAGTCTTATGAGGAGCGGCTGAGGGAACTGGGGCTGTTTAGCCTGGAGAAGAGGAGGCTGAGGGGAGACCTCATCGCTCCTACAACTACCTGAAAGGAGGTTGTAGCGAGGTGGGGGTTGGTCTCTTCTGCCAAGTAACCAGCGATAGGACAGAGGAAATGGCCTCAAGTTGCGCCAAGGGAGGTTTAGACTGGACATTAGGAAAAATTTCTTTACTGAAAGAGTGGTCAGGCCTTGGAACAGGCTGCCCAGGGAAGTGGTGGAGTCACCAACCCTGGAGGTATTTAAAAGATGTCTAGATGTGGCGCTTAGGGACATGGTTTAGTGGGCATGGTGGTGTTGGGTTGACGGTTGGACTCGATGATCTTAGAGGTCTTTTCCAACCTTAATGATTCTATGATTCTATGATTCTATGATTCTAGACACCTATATGTGTCAGCAACTGAATTAGGTCTCTTAATTCAGGGTTCCACTGACAGCTTATGAATAGGGATGTACCAGTATATGTTTAGACCTCTATATATCTAGGCATGTTACTCTCAAATTAAATCCTTCCCTAAAAGTCTCATAGCTAATCTTCAGCAAGATTTTGAGGTTCTTCACAGTAAGTTTGAGTTTGGGGGGATTAGAACTGAATGTATCGAAATGAGTGATTAGCTTTATACTAAAAAAATGAGAAGAAATTCAAAGGGTATAGAAATGCTACATTTTGGATTCATTCCATGTCACTTAAGTAATTTTAAAAAGTTGTTTGCTCTAAGTTAGTCCAGGCTCCCTCTGCCACTGATCATGAAGGCAACCTAAATAAATGCCTTTGACTGGAAATCCAATTTTGACAGCTTGTAGTCTTTGGGGTGAAGGTTGCATTTCTTTCCACATTTCCAAAACAAGACTCTATGACTTTTTTTTAATTGTAAAATGCAGTATTTTGTTAAAAATTGGCCTAAAAGAACAAGCAAAGGTGTTAAGTGACCTCAACAGAAGGTCAAATACTGTGAAATTAAATACTGACATTGCTTCAACTGGTTGTAACAGGAATCCTATGTTTCCTACGCTGCACTGCAACAGGGAGTTCTTGAGCTGGGGAGATATAGGGGTTGGAGTTGGATGGGTGTCAGGAACGTGTGTGCTGCCAGCAAAGGGTTTCATCAGTGGAGCTTTCAGGGTTGTTTCAAAAGAGTACTGGGCATAACAATTTCATTCTTCTTCATCTCCCAAGTTTGTTGCACATCATCGTAATCCCCAAAGAGAAAACACAGTGAAACATCACTGCTTTCCTCGTCTCTCTGGGTGTCTCCGTCTGCCACATGAGGCAGATCCTCAAAAGTTCTGTTGCACACCATGGTTCTGATCCTCCTCTTTCTTTTCACACTTGGATCCTGTATGAGCACTTAGTTTTCTAAAGGAAGGGGTTTTGTCTTCACTCCTCTACTCAGGTCATCTATAATTTTATAATCTTCTTTGGCATGTTGCTCACTGCCAATCTGTGGTATCTTCCTGTTCCTGGATATCTCTCCCACGCCCCTCAGCAGTGGCATGCAAACACCACATCCTGTTCCATCAGAGAAACCATGCAATTTAATCTTTGTCACACAGCTAAACCATCCCTCCTTGTAATCCCAGGATAGTCATGTCTTCCAGCAGCGTCTCAGTTGCATTTCCTAATCTCACGCTCCTCTCCATGTGAGAAAGGGATTTTCTGCTTAAAAGAGTGGAGAACTAGCAACGGTGAAAATTTCTCGCACCAGCAGCTCTGCAAAGCACCCTAATGCAACCATGCAGATTCCCTTCCCTTTTTCTCTCCCCCCTTCATCATTAACTCTGTCTTTGGTTCTCCCCACAGAGGGGCTGAAGTCCCTCACTTCTGATATCCCTGTGCTGTCCTAGCCTCGAAATAGTCACTTTTCATTACTATATCCCTCAGCTCTGCCTAGTGCCCCTAGAACAGTGACTGTCTTGGGCCTCTCTGGAGCAGCGAAAATTTAAAATGTTGGCATTGTATTACATAATTCACAAAAGAAACCACAAATATACTTGCTGTCTACAGTAGGACTGTCGACAAAGTAACCTGGCATTCAAGCAATCTATATGCAATTTGATCTGTTTAAGCCCTGTCCCTGAAGATCAGATTAGATATCTCTCCTTCTCTGTTACTCATCTGTTCTGCAAGCACTTGTCTCAGAAGATTAATACAAATGAGCTTTTCTAGGCTCTCCTAGCACGTAAATAGGAATAAACTACCATGTCCTTTAAAATCCACAGACGGGGGCTATGTTTTGTAGTAGATTATGCAACTGGGCAAATTGGAGATGAGATGCACAAGGCACTTCCTGGCAGAACCGGTTGGAAACCTGCTGAGGCTCTTTGTTTTTCATATCATTATGCTGAAAGGTCTTAGGCAGGGCAACAGATGATGCCCTTTTCTCCTTCTACTTATTCCCACCAAGGTATAGTGCATGGAGCAAAGGCATTTTTCTTATTCTACTATACCACTACAGTCCAGCCCTTACGTGCCACAGTAGCTTCCTCTGATAAGCCATGGCACCAAGACTCACCAGCCCGTTCCCAACAAACTTGCCAATAATCATCACACCAGCCAATAGGGTGGCATAGTCAACGTTCATTTCAACATTTGCAACAGAAAGGCAAGTTAGTCAGAAGAGCCCCTTTTCCTTGGTGAGGAGAGCCAGCATTCACCCACCCTAAGCAGTACTGGGCAGGAGGTAAACACTTTGTTGCCTTTTTTGGTCGTGTAGTACAAAACAGCTCTTAAAAATGTTTTAAGATATATATGGGATGGCCTGGTATGGTTTCACTGAGGCAGGGTGCCAGGCATATTATGTAAAGTGTTGATCTTTCCTACATGTTAAATTGGATATAGAACAGTTGGTTTCCACTCCTCCTTTCTGGCAATAGGCCCAGCCTCATGCCCTTCCATATAAACTGGGCCCCTCCTAGCAGAACAGTTGCCCAAGGTATCAGCAAGACTCAGAAACTGCACTGGTCCTGTTGATGATGGCAGTTCTCTTATCAAGAATCAAGGGTATGCTCTTCCTCTTGTTCCTCCCATGCTTTTGTTCTGGTCAGCCTGCACCTCCACCTCTGCGTTTCTCCATCTTCCTGGATCCTTCAAAGATGGTCTACCTCCGCTGGGACCATGACGAACAGGAGCTGATGACGTTTGAGCTGCAGGTCCATACAACTGGCTGGGTGGCATTTGGATTCAGCTCTCATGGAGAGTTGCCTGGATCTGACATTGTGATAGGAGGTGTCTTCCCAAATGGCAGCATCTACTTCTCTGTAAGTTGAAAAGACTTCGTCTGCATCCCCCTTTGCCAAGGGTCATGCTCCAAGTATATTGGCTTGAAAGCATACGGGCTCAACTTGCTAAAGATAGATGTCCGAGGCCATTTGAGATCCTTAGTTGTCATGGCCTCTGACTGACAGTCCAGAAGAGCCCAGGTCTTCTGGAGGTCCTGTGTCATGCCTGCTAGCCCCATAACAGATACCAGAGATACCCTATGGTATCCCAGATGGCACTAGATGATGTTGTTTAGGCAAATAAACTGATCCCACGTGCAACTCAAAACCACAGCCAGAACCCATTAGCTATGACTAAAGCAATCACCTACCATGAAGGTAGAAGAGGCTGCTGGGAGTGGAACTTCCGATTCATCCAAACCAGAGGTCAGTTCAGCCAGGAGTCAGATGTGAAACTCTCATGTTTTCCCTCACTGAAGCTTTTCAAAGGTTAATTTACTTGGTTTCCTCTGTAGTAAGTGGAGACGTGTTCCCCTGCAAAGGTTGCTTCTTCCTGAGAGTCTTAAATGTCTCCTCTAGGAATAGGATAGGACATCCTTGGGACTTGCTGTTTTTAAAATTGTCTGTAAAGGCAACCACTAAGGATAGATGCCTGATGTTAAAACAGCTGGAGATTAGAGGAACAAAATGCCACTGAAGGTGCTAAATACAAAACCAGGCTGTTGATTTGTTTTGTTTTGTTTTGTTTTGTTTTAATCGTGAAGGAGAAAGAGGCAGTTTAATATTATTCTGCTACAGAAAGAAAAAGAGTTTACACTGATGAAGTGTTTGCCAGTCACAGTGGTTTTATTTTGTTCAGCTGTTTTCAGTTCCCTTTTCACACAACAGTAAAATGTGTTTTGCATGAAATATGTCTTGGTGCTTGCTTGTCTAAAATGGATGAACTTTGGAGGGGTTGAGGTAGCTAGCCTTACTTATGGTCATTAGTTCGTTGCAAAACCGGTCTTGTAATACCAAGTTTTGAAATCTTTTTGTGATTGTGACACAGACAGGGTATTTTTGGCTGTGAATGACCACAGGGAAAAAAATTATCATCTGTTTAGAAGAAACACTTGTTCTTTATTCTTTAATAATGATTTTTTTAAAAGTGATTTGGGGTAAAACTAAAGCATTTATTTTCTGCTAAAAGAACATCCTGAGAGGAAAAATTTAAGGGTTTGGTTTAAAAAATATTAAACATTCCATTATTTTCAGAAGAGATGTTTAACATTTTCAATGTTTTTCTGCATTGGTAGCTGAAACTCTTTGTTTATTTAGAAAATAATTTTGGTCCTACAAAAGTTTTAGGTTTTTTCAACTCTTTTACATATCAGAAAACATATCCCAATTATTTAGGTCCAGAGACACTCCAGTAAGCAAACACATTAATGACCACAAAAATCCACATTTGCTCAGTAGGCGCTGTATCACATCCACTGAACCTGTGGAACAGACAGTTTGAAGGAAAAATATGCTAGTTACTGTAAATAGAGTTTAAGTGGCTTTTTTCCATCTGTGTTCTTCCTTCTAACCCTCTTTCTCTCACAACCTTGGTTTTTGTTTTAATTTTCCTTTTTACTACAACCATAACAAAGTCATCACCTGAGTAATGTCCAATGCATGAAAAACTAGCAAAAAAGGCTTGTTTTCACAAAGGTGCGGGGTTTTTTCAGCTGTTTACTGCCTTCCTCTTTCATAAGGTGTATTTAATTTTCAGTATTTTATTTATTTCAAAGTAGCTTATCTGCAGACTACTTATCTTTGATTTTTGATCTTTTAATGAAAGAGTGCAACAGGTATTTGAAAATAGTAGCAAAACAAAAGCTGTATTTTCAAACTATGATATGTCCCTCTGTAAATTCATCATTTGGGTTAGAGAAAATTGCTTAGAGTATTCTGAAAATCCAAATTCATGGATAAATTCAAGAAGAAGAAAGAATACTAGAGGAGATACTGGGAAATTTAGCAAAAGCTGTAAGCAGGTTTTGAAACAATCACTTAAAGGAACAGAGATGGGAGGAAAAATATCAGGAAGGATTTCACATGAAAATATTCTTCCTTGACCAGACTGTTGTCTGGTAAAATTTTTCTCTTCTCTTTTATCCCTCCAAAGTTGAATACTGCAGCAAAACTTTTCAGTGTAGCACTTAACAGCTGTACGTTAGGGAGACATTTGCTTTATTATGTTTCAGGTTTCTCTTTGAGAGATTTTCATCATGTCTGCAGCCACTGCCTTCTCATTTCTGGTCATTTGAACTCCTTTGCCACAAAAATATGATGTGATCTCAGTCAGTCGACTTGGAGCTTTATTCCTTTTTATCCTTCTTCCCTTTCCACAGTCCCACCTTTTCACGTTGTATTTTCATAGCAGCAGTTATTGTGGCCCATTCTGTTCCCAGTGAGATTTCTACAGGAACTAGACATTTAGATGCTTCTCAAACTCTGCCTCATGTTTCTGTGCCTTTTTACTGAGTAACAATTGCATTTGATTACCTCAGTCATGCATTATTTGTCGTTTTCACAATGCCTATGCTGCTAAAGCCATTGGTCAGCTTGTGGTTTCTAGGAGAGCTTAGCATCCATAACCAGGCCCAGGTTCCAGGTGGTATGGAAAACCGAAGAGTTAAAGTAGAAGCTTTGGTAGGCCCAAAATATTTTACTTTTGAACTACCTCTGTAGTAGCTTATTTTACTTCCCACCCTGTGTGGTTGAGCCAGATGTGCTAAAATGAGCAGGTCACTCAGGGAGCAGGGAAGATCCTCTAGGATCCATCCTATCCAGGCCATCCTCTGGGCGATGGGACCCAGGGGCTGCTCTTTCCTTGAGCAGTTGGATATAGCAGGGACTGGATGTGAGTTCTCTTCGATTGGTTTGTGGAAATCACCAGTGAAAGCAGAGGAGCTTTTTTGGAGAATGAAATGCTTTGATTTCAGGTCCCACCAGCATTACATGGAAACATGACTTCTCGGAGTGTAGGAAGCTCTTCTCTTCTTTCTATGGCTTTGACCACTGTTCCTTTTCCAGGATTGTCATGTGGTAGATGAGGCAACCATTGAGGAAGACGAGAGCCAGGACTACCAACTGCTGTCAGTGACAGAGAATGAGACCTCCACCACCATGCTGTTCAAACGCCACCTCCGGACATGTGACCCAAACGACCTGGATATCACAGTAAGACAGGGGACTGCTGAAGCAACATCCCAAAAAACCTGCTTTCATGTCCCACTGTACTCCCAGATCCCTAGGATCAGATCTGAGAATGATAGGTTTTTATCACAACAGTACAATAAGAGGAATATACAGAAAAATATGGGACCGTATGGCCACATTTATAATGCCCATTTCAAGGGCACTATATTGATGTATTTGATGTTTTTTACAATGTTTTCCATCAAAGAATAGGGAAGATATGAATCTCAACATTTTCTTAAGCTTGAACACAGCTCTTCAAAATTTTGCCCATTTCTCTGTCTCTCTCTTGTTTGTCACATATAAAAAACAATCTAGTATGGTTTTTATGTGCCTAATATAAGGCAGTATTTTGGTAAGAATTATGTTTAGAAAATTCAGAATGCTTTGATAATCTCAGTCCTTCTCTCTTGGAAGAGCTTCATACTGGTATTGACTGACATTAAAAACTTGGCCAATCCAAGTCGGTATTTTAACTCAGAGATTTTTCAAAAATATGCTTTGCCAAAGTTCACAAGCACAGTAATGCACACCGTTTCAGAACTCTGCATATGTAGATAGTGTTTACACTGTTTCACTTTTACTTGAGGGACCTCTGGGTAAATCAGCATTATCCAAGGCTTAGCCCACTCAAAAATATTTGTCCAGAATTAGGTATGCATTCACCATTTTTCCAGAGTGCAAATACATGTGCAAATGACTGGATAGATGCCTTTGTGGTCACAAACCTTCTTAATGACCTTCACTAGTTGAAAGAAATATAATCCCGTTCTGAATGGGAAGAACCTACAGAGTTCCGTGGCTACTGCTGTCCTTACATGATGGGGCAGATGCAGGCGGGTCATTGAGTGCATTCATGCTCGACAGTAGCTGCTAGTGGGGAATCACGGGACTACAGTTTTGTTAGCTTTTTGTGTAAGTCCCTTAGTAATTCTTTGTAAAAATTGCCCAAAGAGCATTAACAGTATATATAGACATATGAACTGCATCTGCTTGCTCTAGGATATGCAAAAATCTGAAAATCCGATCTTTAGCACCATTGTACAGCTTCCACAGCTAGAACAGTATCCAGACACTCAGTGTCTAAACATTTAAACACAAAATGATGCAGGTTCTGAAATCTTATAAATCCCTTACAGCTTTTTCCCAGCTTTCTTTCATTTCACATACCAACACTTTAAATCCATGCACGTTTCAATAACGTGTGTGGAATGACAGTGGGTACAGCTTTCCTAGGGTCTTTTCTAGCCAGCACCCTCTCTTTGGGAAAAAAAAATCATGTCTGTGTCTGGACAAGACAAATCTGGTGCGTTAAACTGCTTACTTTCTCTTGTGTGTTCTGACATATTGTCTGAGTGTCTGGGTACATACCAAATACATACAGTCATATTATTTTAGATTACTTTTCATTGCATATGGCTAGTATGTGGATTGTGTTTTAATACATGTGTAGTGGTATAAGGCATGTGATGTGGGGTGAATACCTGTGTGTGTGGTTGATGGGAAGGAATGAAGGAGAGTTTCCAATTAAACACTCCCATTACAGGTAGACACAGCACGCCTCGTTGCTGCCTTTGGTACTGATGACACAGTCCCATTCTTTAAAGGCCAAATATTTTCCAAGTCCCTTTTCTTGTTGAGGTTCAGAAGCCCATCAACTGACCCTAAAATATTCTTCACCTATGACCTGAGGCTGGACAATGTAAGTATTGGACAAGAGCTTTACTTGGCATGTTAAAAGATTTCCCCTTCTTCCTCCTTTCTTTGCAAAGTTGATCATGCCCATGCTGGAGGTTTGGATTGCACAGGTGCAGAAATGGACATGACTGATCTTTGAAACATGCAAATAGAGCTGGCAAGAGTAGGAATGAAGTGGAAAGGGAAGGCTTGCTGTGTGGAGGGTAAAGGGCTTATTTGTTAGGAAAATGCTGTAAGATGCAGCCTGTTCCCTTGACTAGAATTTAAGGAGCCAAACACAGGCTGTGGTGCTATTGAATTGCAATATAATTATTAACTCAGGCATGTATGTATACAGGTCTATTGTCCCATCCATGTAGACCCACAAAAAGATATCTATAATATACTGAAGATATTTACTGATTCCCATCTTAGTTTTGTGGGAACTACACCATATCACGGAGAAGAGAAATAATGGAAATACATTTAAATGCTTTGTGACAAGCCTGGCTAAGAGCTCAGAAAATGCAATATACGCTACTGTGTGCGCTGCCTCCAGTATTAACTTATGCAGCATCTCAGTGTCAGATATAAGGATTTACCAGGAGAGCTGGAGCCCCCCATTAGCATCACCTCATGGTACATGTGCCATCCTTGTCAAATGGAGTCCAAAAGCACCAGCTCAGTGTGGTATTGCATTAACACCTTCCTTCTTTAAACAGCATCAGCCCACACAGTCAGCACTCACTCAAGGCACAGCAGCATCTGCTGATCAGTGTGGGCAACATTCCATAGTAAAGAGGGCATTATTTTTATGTAAAGATTTGTGGGATTAGTGCTATCATGTGTTGTGCTTGTGACTCCAGAAAACCGGCAATAAAAAACGTGGATTGAACCGAATGGACATTTCCTATGCTCGGTTCATGTTACAAGAGGCAAATTAGTAATGCAATTCCCTTTTGGAAAAAATACAGAAAAAATCTGAAAGAAGAAGAATTTAAGACCTGGTGGAGCTGACAAACGTGTTTACCTTCACCAGAATACAGTTTCATCTTCTTGACCCTTTAATCCTCTCACTCATTGCAACCAAAAACCAATTAGACGCTTGCTGAATGCATCAGCCTTCCTGCCCCCTCCACTTCTCCCTGCACTGCCTCCCTTTGGCTTCTCCAGTTCCCTCCGCACGTTGTTGAGTTGTCAGGGGAACCTTCAGGTCACTCGTGTGTCTGTTTCTTTTCCAGTTTGCTGTTCCAGTTGAAGAAACCAAGTATGCCTGTAAATTTATCCCACTGCCCATGGTCAAGCAGAAACACCATATCTACAAGGTAAACTTGCAGGCTGTATTACTGGGGAAAGAACAGGACAGGACAGACTTGCTTCTTCAATCACGTGTACAAGTCTGTCTTTTACAGCATTTTAGTATAAATTTGGGAGCATTCCATCTGTCTTTCACTGCCATTCGGATGAGCTAACTAATTTGTCCGGCTTGCGTGGAGATAAACTCTCTCTTGTTTCTAGCTTTGGAAGTACCTTTGCCTTTATGTACATCACACCTGAAGAAACCTTGCTACAAGTCTGATGTCTCAGTATAGTGAGCTCAGGCCATGTTACCTGCTGGTAACTTTGAGAGCAAAAGGAGCCTCCAGAATTTTCTATATTTGAAAGGACTTTTGCTTTTGTTCTTGGACTTGCTGACAATATTTGTATAAAAAGCAAAACTAACATTTTTGCAGTCCTGTTTTCAAGATTCAATATGCAAAAAAGAAGAGCAAAATAAAGAAACAGGAACTTTCCAAAGCAAGCCTAATTTACTTCTCAAATTAAGATAACTTTGCTTCAAGGTCAAGCAACCCTTCTTAGTTTTGTGGGTTCTGAAGGTTTAAAAACAGATGTTCCACTGCAATGGCATAAGACAAAATTTCATAAGGAAGAATTTCCATGGACTGGAAAAAAGAATTAGACAGGTAATCCTATAGAATAAACTCCGGAGCTTTCATCAGTTCTTGTGGTAACATCAGGATTTTGAGGCCTGATCTCATCAGTGCTGCTAAGAAGTTCAGTGATTAATGAACAGATCCAGGTTATTTGCAGGGTTTACTTTAAACTATCTTGATTATAGTACTTTTGGCACAACTGAGGGAGCAGTGAATTATAGTGAACCTGAGATCAAGGTCCCTTATCTTGCTTTGCAGCCAAGAAAATGGTGTATGAGCTAAACTATTTACATTTCTAGTCTGGAACCACATCTGCCCAGCATAACAGGTCAAATAGACACCCCTGTGATTCTGATTAAGGGGATGCGCTTTATAGGAAGATGCAAATCCTTTCTGGAAAAATGGACTCTGCTGGTGCATACCGAAGTGAGTAGATAAATCATCCAGTTCACCATCCATTTTGCAAATCAGATTATATCTGTTTGCCTAAGCTATGGTTAACTGCTCTTTCTGGTTGCCTGAGAAAGAAATATTTTAGGGTTGACAATAACTTTTTTTTGCTCTTTCTATTGGTTACAGTTCGATCCAGTAATAACACCCCACAACATAACCTTGGTTCATCATATTCTTATTTATGGCTGTGGCAATGCCAGCGTGTTACCCAGTGGCATAGATGATTGCTATGGAGCCAATCCAGATTTTTCCCTGTGCTCTCAGGTGCTTATGGGCTGGGCTATTGGAGGACAGGTGAGTCTGCAGGGCCCACTCCCTTCCCCATTTCTTTTTACGAACAGTAGTACCTTGTTGTCAGCTTGTCCAGTAAGACCCCACGGTCCTGCAGGGCCACCCAAGCTGGGGAAGTTTCCCCATACTGTCCCCACTCGAGTCTACTTCTGCTGCATCAAGTGATGGTGGCGATTTCTACGTAATTGTCGATACTCTGCATATGTGTGTATGTTATCATCATACCTGCATTAAACAAGTTTTATATGTCACGTAGGAAGGCTTTCATTCTGACCTTTTGATAATGTTGCCATTAATTTCACAAAAATCTCCTTGTGCTAGTCTTGCATAACAGAAAGAAGTGTACCTACTTTCTGCTTTTTTTTCTACTGGCTCTGCCTCTTTTTCAGCAGAGTAAAATTAAAAGTTCAGTGAAATAGGTGCTTGTGGCTGAGTGGCCTACTTAGTAGTCAGTGCTGCACAAATTTTAGCATCTATCTTGTGATGGTCACTTTGCCTTTCAGAGCAAAAGGTATTTTGTATTTCTATAGTATGCATGTGCATGGGGATGGAGAGAGGAAGGAGATAAGTTTTAGACAAAACCCTTATATTAATTTTATTCAGATTTTATATTATGCAGTGCCAATACCGATATGAAATTTGCTGCCAAAGTATACACATACTATAACCATTTCCTATTAAAAATAGTATAAAAATAAAAATGAAACTAATCAAAAGGATAAGTGAAAAATAAATTTTGAAAATTCTTCCTTGTTCTGATTCAGAAGGAAAAGAAATGGAACTGGCAGAATTTCCCCCAACATTTTGATTTCTAACAATGTCTAAATAAATATTCAGAGATGCAAGAAAATAAAAGCTTTCTTTTTGTAAGTTTTCAATCAAGAAACAACAGAGAAGTGTTAAAAGCTAACTAATTTGTATAACTTTATTCCTCCTCTTCCTGTTTCCACAAGACTTATCAATTTCCAGATGAAGCTGCAGTTTCCATAGGGACACCTTTGGATCCTCAGTACATCCGGCTAGAAATCCATTACAGCAATTTTGACTTGTTACCAGGTGGGTAATGCTGGGCAGTTGTCTGACAAAGAACAGCCTCAGGATGGAAGCCTCAGACCTCACCTACATGGCTATTAGAAACCAGCTTCTGCATGAGACATTTCCATATGTTGCTTAGTACCACCTTCAGGACAGTAAGAAGGAACTGGACTGGGCTCCCATTCAGGAAGAACTTTAACTTTAGAAACATAGATAGTTATATCTGCTTAGATTAGACACGTCTTACCATCCAAAAAGCTGAGCACATCTTCCTGCTGTGATATTACCAGGAGTGTCAGGGAAAACGTCAGGGAAGTGTGGGCATCATGGGAAAAAGGAGCAGAGTGGGAAGGGACCGAGTGGCTGTGGGAGAAATAGGTGTACCAAGGGTCAGGATGAAGTCCTGAGAACCTAGTAATACCACCTCAGGCTTCTACCATGACCTTCAGCACTCAATCCCTATGACAGATGATGAAGAATGCCACCACGGTATTTGCTATCATTTTACAGAAGGGGAAACAAAAGTGTGGAGTGATTTTATGGGAATCATCTGAGACTATGAGCAGGGCTGGATCCAGATGCACTATGAGTGAAGATCTGTGCAACTGTGCACCTTGCATGACTTTGAGGCTGCACATTACAGTGGACCATACCACAGGGGTAGGGTGGAGGGCTTAGGCCTTCCTGTTAATCTGTCCCTGCTCCCAACCTGTGACTGGGAAAGAGACACGATATGTGTTGTCGCTTCAGGCCCCGCTTCTGCTGTTTCTGGAGACATTGCTGAAGGAGCGGTCATTTTTCTTTTACAGGTTTGATCGACAGCTCAGGGGTACGAATCTACTATACTCCAGAGCTACGGAAACATGATGTGGGGATTCTGCAAACAGGCATCTTCTCTTTCCCTTACGGCTTTTGCAATTCCAGCCAGTTTGATGAAGTGAGTGTGGGGAAAGCCGTCTTGATCTTTCCCACTTTGGGTTTTCATCTTGCTCTAGACATGTCCAAAAGCCATTTGGTGCAGGGTCCGTCTTAGCCTCCATTTCTGCATGTTGCAAAATGAGTATCTATTCCAATAAAACTGCTCAGCAGACACCCAAGATTTGGCCCAAGAGCATTAGCAGACCTGTGTAAGCATGTCAGAACCATGGCTCGAATACCCATTCACCCCATCTAAGTGAAAGGGAAACAACACCCAAGGGATGTAGTGACTTCCCAAGACCCCCCAAGAGAGATTGCTCCACCACATGCAAGAGGCCTTTGTCCTGCCATAGGTGTGTGGTACTGGTGTAGGAAGGCAGGTACTAGGCTGGAAGGATGTGGTGCTCTCTCTCAGGTCAAGAAGATACCTCTAGAGCAGAGATCTAACATCCCTCAAATCACAGCCAAGAGGCTGCTAACAATAATCAGCTCCGATGGACTGTGGGATCCAGGGGATTCACAGGTCCCTCCAGGACTGCTAGATGTGAGGTTGCCACTTTCCCCTTTCCTAGGCGCAGCAGGTGCTAAGGCTGGGGGCAAACTCCAAAGACACAGACACCCCCCACCCCACCCAAACACACACGCTCAGAGAGCAGACCCAGCTGGCCACAAACAGATCAACACAGACAGGAGTACAGTACCTTTACAGGCACCACACAGGCACGAACAACACCCACAGGAGCATGGACAACACAAATGACGCAATCCTCTTCCTCCTCTCTGATTAATCAGGCTTGAAGTTCACTAGAGGAACATAACTGTGAGCACACTCACTCAGCTCCCATACATAATCACGTTTGCTGGTCACTCCAATTTCTGGTGCAGACCATAAGTCCCTTCAGCATCCGTGCCCAGGCCCAGGGCTGTGTTACGCAGTCTCTGGCCTGGACCTTGGGTCTTTCTAGCTTGAAGTTTCCTAGTGGATCATCCCACCCCAAAACCACAGGCACACACACATACACAGTATAGAGAGCACACTCACACAGAAAATAGTTAGGAACAGAGTTTAATAAGATAGTCTAAATTGCAGGTACCAGGTTTGGTCAGACAAACATACTGACCAGCATACTGACTCTTAAGTACAACTGGACTCTCCTCTTCCTCTCTCCATTTTCCCATGTTTCTTTCTCTCCTTCCCTACCTTCGACCTCTTCCCTAAGCATCCCACAATAAATTTGGCACATTTCCACAATCCACTTAGAATACCCCGTAAGTTTTACACAGTCCCACAATCCCCCTCGAACAACCCATAAGTTTGCTTCCTCTTATGAGGCCTGAGGTAATCTTGTTTTTTGTCTTTTCATCAAAGATTTTTCTTTGGACCTTTTAAGGTCTACATTTTGATGGTTCTTTTAACGGCCTGTTGATCAGCGTCTTACAATTTCTGCTTTTACTCTTTCTATTATCTGCTCTTTCTTAGAGTTCATGTATCTGCATGTTTAACTTATTACCTCTCCTGTATCTTGTCTTAGTTTTTTACATAGCTGATAGCAAGATATGCTTACAGTACCCAGCATGGGATACCACAAACTCAGACAACTATGCCACAGTACCTAAAGCCAGAAAAGCAATTTTCAGAAAGGCTCACCAGAGCAACCTTTCAATCAGTAGTGACCTACATGAGGAAATGGTCTTAAACCTCCCTTCTAAAAAAAAATATTAAGCTGACAATTACACAAGTTCCATCAAGCTTTTGACTTGATGGGCAGGCCTGAAACGCAGTGCTAAGTTCTGACTGCCAGGCTCTGACCTACTTCATTCTGAACTGCAGATGAACGGGATGGCGGTTCCAGATATGCATGTCTTTGCCTACTTGCTTCACACCCACCTGGCTGGAAGAGGACTAAAAGCTGTTCAATACCGGTAAGAGAAGCAAACTCTCAGTATTGCTGCCCGTGCCACAGGATCAGTCCCTGCCTCTTGGGCTAGACTGGATGAGAATGATATTCCCAGATTAGTCTCCATCTGTCTGTCAGTGCAAGAGACTCTTCAGTGTCTGAATTGTAGTACAAAGAACTAGCTCCTCGGGAAAGGGTCAGCTGAGCAGAGAGTATGAGACCGGGACTGTGCCTCCTGTTAAATAAAACAGGTCCAGGCAGTGAGCTCAAGCACTGGGCTGCTGCTCATTCACACTAGTCAGCTGCTAGACAGTGCCCTTGCATAGCTTGGTCCTGCTAACCAGACTCACGCTGAGGCTACACAGGCACAGTTCTGGGGATTGCGTGTACCAGTTCCGATGGGCTGCATGGGCAAAACTACACTGGGTTTGGTTTCCTCCACCATCCTCCCACACTAAAAACTTCAGCACTCTCTGATCACACCGCAGCCCATGAAACATGAATTCTCAGTTTCAAGCTATGACAATAGCAAATCATGGTCTGCAGCATAGCATTTGAACACTACTTCAGACACTCAGAATTTGAAAAAAAAACAAAACGCAGAACTAAAAAACAATTGTGCTTTAAGCCAATGAGGAATCAGAGAAGTCCAAGTGCTTTATAGTATAGGTATAAGGCCTAACTCCTCCTTAGGTTTCTAATTTCAGAATGACCCAACATGAGACAAGCACCACACTGCAGACAGTTACAGGGAGACACACTTAGTTCATGCTAGTGAGCCAGAGAACAATGCACGATCCTATGGTATTTAGCAATATGGGTGTAGCCCAAGATGTCGCAGTGACACTCTAAACTTAGAGTGCTCACTGCGACACCTTCAAGATCAAGTTCCCTGCTTGTCTACATGACTTTGCTGGTGCATGCTCTGGGGTATGATGTGAGTCCCATCTGGAATGGCAGGGGGAAACTTTGACATTGCCTTAGACGATTGTGCTCTGACGCCAAATCCCCAGACCCCTGCACTGTCTCACATACTGCCTCACATGCTGATTCACTCTGCAGGAACCCCACACATACTGAGTTGATTATGTAGGTATGCAGGGAACCTGAACTGCACTGTATGCAAGCTGTGGAAGACAGGAGAGTACCTGGCCCCCCACAACCAATGCAAAGCTGAGTTATGAGCAGAGCAGATGTTGTCTAGTTTGGCTTCTAAGCACACATATGAAATACCATTCAGAAGAATCTAGGCTGTTCCAGAGGGCACATCTGCCCTTGAAGATGGCCTTCCTCAGTTATCCTTAAACACCAATGGCACCCTACAATCAAACATGGTTTAAACACCCTGGCCCTGCACCTCTTTACCCAGTCCCCAGCATGTGAAGGAATGGGGCCAAGTGACTAGAAGCTCCTTCAAAGGCAATCTCAGAAACATGGGTTTTCTGATGGGTATTTTCCCCTCTCTGGCCAGTGGTATCTGCAAAATACTCACCTAGCAGCCTCTGTAACCTAACTGTGACATGGCAAAAGCAGGGGAAAACTTTTTAAGAACCTTAGGAATCAAACTTGATCTGCTATAACTAACCTAAAGAAATGGGGATTTTGTAACTTGAAAGGTGCATTGTGAATGTGTCTGCTCCCCAATTATGCCTGTCTGTGTCTCTCAGGAGTTGCACATTATAGCTGATAAATGTGGTTGTCTCTTGGAAAAGGAGCAAAGTAGACATCAGAAACCCTATCGGCTTCAAAGCCATCCCTCAGTTTCAATGCTGGTGATCTCCAGCCCAAACTGGCCTGACACTTGGATTGCTATGCTAGACAGCAAGAGAAGAGGAGGAGCCTCCCTCTGTCTCACTAGCTAGCATCTTCCAAGTGCATGCTCCAAGTAGCAGGGAGTGATATAATCAGGAGAGTTTTCCTTAGGCTTCAGAAGAAAATGGAAGGTTCTGTCTTGTTGCTAGGAATCAATTGAGGTCAGTCTAAAGAGGACTAAGTCAACCGTTCAATTTACTTAGGATGAGCATATATCTGAGAAAGGACCTTTACAGAATTTACCATGATAGGACCATGTCCTGAAGCCATCTCAAGCACAGGCTCCAGAGCAGAAGGTCAAGTGCTTGAAACACCTTCTGAACAGAGATGATTCAGGTACAGTGAGCAGTTGGGGTGACCATTTTTTTTCTGGGATTTCCCCTGTAACATGTAGGATAACTATGTTGTTCTTAGTCACTTGTCCAATTAGTGGAGACCCCAGACTCTTTGGAGCTTGACCTTGGCAGAATATAGCAGATTGTGATCTTTGATAGCAATTTAGGGGCAGGCCTGACTCCTTTTTAGGTGTTAATTCCCGAATACCCCAGCATAGGCCAAAAGTCACACATAGCCAGTATGAGTGACTTAGCTAGAGCTATTTTGTTCCGTATAATAGCAGTAGGTTTTGGCTCCTGCTCTTTATGCAAGTCGCATGGTACACAAAAACCATGTGTCACGTGACAGAGCATCTTCCTTCTTGACTTGAACCTTTGTAAAGCCTGGCCTCTAAGCCAGGTTCCTCCTTTCTGAACCCATTTTTCTATAAGGCGTAGCTAGCTGGACAGTAGCGTAAGCCTACCAGTTCACCTGCTCTGAGCTGCCAGCAGTCACAAAGTGGGCCTACAACAAGCAAGCAGGGTGTGCGACAGCTGCTGGGATGGCCTGGCCGTGAGTGCCACAAGGATTGTGCGCTGGGTGCCTTGATGCACCTTGCAGTGTGCACTGTGGATGTACTTAGCAAGATCTAAGGACCTGTAACATGGATGGAGAAGCAGCACTCAAGCAGAGCAGAGATCACCTAAGCAGCAGTATCACAAAACACTGTAGAAATAGCAAGGAAGAACCCACATGCGATACTTCTGCGTCTGCAAGGGAGGTCCTAAAGAGCCTGCCAACTCTGCTGTGCTAGGGTCAGAGGAATTTAAACTGTGCATTTCATTATGCACAACAATTACTAACATGTAAAAAGTCCATATTTGGACTCCAGACCAGAGAGGGTTGGGTGAGAAATTTCAAGTGTGTGTTTGGGACTGACTGTCGCTGAAAATACGTTCTGTGAGCTACAGTACAAAAGAGATCAGGCATGATTTGTGGAGGGGATTTTTCTTGTCTCTGTTTATTTCATCCAGGAATCAGTTATTCCACACCCCTCCCTGGAAACATTATAACTTTCTCCCCTCGTTTGTCTTCCCCAGGAATGGTGAGCAGCTGGTGATCATCTGTGAGGACAATAAGTATGACTTCGGTCTGCAGGAGATACGGAACATGAAGGAAATCGTCATAGTCAAATCAGTACGTTCCTCCCCTGGGATGTAGCCATGAGCAGGCAGGCTGGGGAGCTAGCGAGCACCAGAGATGTCAGAGCACGTTGATATATTCTGTCCTTCATTCCACCTCAGGCTATGGCCCATTGTTTTCACACAGTTTCCTGGTTCCTCACATCGCGATCGGTTGTTTTGCGTGCTTTGCCTGTACAGCTCTGACAGTGTGACCTACTGTGTTCCGTAGGGGGATGAGGTCCTGGTCGAATGCAACTTTCAGACACTGGATCGGTCACAGAGTACTTTTGTAAGTTTGTTTTTCTACCTACAAATCTTCCATTGCTTTTAAAATTAGTTTAGCACCATCAAAATCTTTTGGGCAGACATATATCTCTTCCCCAAGCAAATATGTCCCTGGCAAAAGCTTCTTGTGTCAGACACAATATCATAGACATACTGAGGCATGCCTTGCACAGTAGCTCTCCAGCAAGACCTTCCTACTTATGAACAGATCCCAAAGCTATCTTGCATCTAATACCATGCAAGCTAACTCTTGTCCAAAACATCACATGCAAGTAGCGAAACTTGCAGCTGAGTTGGTTTTCAATCACTGAACACTCGGATTTAGTGGACAGGCAGAAGTCAAATACAGAAACTGACGTAATCTGGCAGCTGGATCTGATTTGGACTTCTCAAAATATGAACACATTCTTTTTTGTTCTTCATACTCAGACCAGGTGTCAGTTTTGCAGAACTTAGCATGTAAATAATTATTGTCATACTTCATAACTGATTTTAGAGCATATGTCATGCAGAGGAGTTAATAACGTTATTACACTTAGAAATGGGCACAAGAAACTAAGAGTCAACCTAAAGAGGGTTACAGAGTTTATATTCACAGAGAGCAACAGTGTTTGATTTGGTTGGGCCCATTCCAAGCACAGGGATCAACTGAAAAATTCTGATCTGGATGTCACACTCAGTTAATTCCCTGAATATTTTAGTTGAACTTTCCAAAGTTTCAGATTTTGGGATCAGTAGTCTTCCTGAAGGAAAGAATAGGTAGATTTAAGTTATAAAACCACAGAGCAGCCTATTTATCAGACTCTTGTGAGGATACTTTGATTCTCTGTTTCTAACTCTCAGACAAAGAAATTAATTCCTTTTTTTTCACCAGGCAGGATCTGCATGAGCTGTGAACAAGAGTGCTTTCCTGAGGAGAAATAGTCTCCTTGTTGTGTCTCAGCAGACCTCTGAGTCATCCTTGTGTCTTTGCAGGGTGGGCCAAGCACCATGAATGAGATGTGTCTCACATTCCTCTTCTACTACCCTCGTAACAACATCTCCAGTTGTATGGGCTACCCTGATATTTTGCATGTTGTGCATGCACTCAAGCAGGAGGCCTCAGAGTGAGTCCTGAGTTAACATGTTTCTGGAGGTAGCAGAGCAAAATGTAGCTATGAAGAATGGCAAAAGGAAAAGATAATGAAATGAAATGTTGCTGATAGGGAAGAAAGAGCCATGTCAAGTTGAGCTCCCTTGTTGCAGGAATCTATCAACTGTGATACTTGAACAATCTCTTCTCCTTTATCTTTTTTTCCCCTTCCTTTCTTTTTCCCTCCTTCCTCATCTTCTCATCGTTTGTCTTCTCCACCTCCCCATTACCCCTTACTCTGTCCTCAGTGCATTGGAAGGAATGATGGCCATGGACTTTGTTGACTGGAACAATGAGACTGTCAAAATTGCAGAGCATGCAGCCAAGGAGGCAGATCAATTCGTCATCATTAAAACCATTGATGTAAGTCCCCCTTCTGAGCAATTTGTGGTTGAGGAAATGGACTTGGCTCTGACGTTCCAAGAGTAAAGCACAGCTGACAGATAGAGCCAACACACAACACCTTGGGTAACATCAACTATTCACAGCTTATCCAAGGCTATAGGAACTGAAAGGGATTATGTGAATTATGAAGTCCTGTCTCTTAGGCTGCAGTTGCAAGTAACAGTCCAAGACAGTTAGTCACCACTAACTATTTAGTCACCATTTAGCTTTGAACTTAAAAAGATAAAAATTCTTCTCCAAAGAGGAAAAACACTCTTGCGTCTTGGTAATATAACAAGGGGTGATGCCATGGCAGTGCATTTTTGACAGAATGAGCAATAAAATAGTGCTGAAGGTCCCTCAGACAACGTGCATACAAAGGGAGTTAGGATGATCCAGAAAATCCACATACATGGGACATAGCTTCCTGGCTCTTACTTGTCTGGCTGTATTTCAGTGCATCAGTCTGGCACCTACTCATCTTAAAGATAAATAAGGGAAAAAATCTCTTACATTGAGAAAGGATTGAGATTCCATCTTCTTCTCGTCTCTCAGAGAGCTTCTCTGCTGCCTAGTTACGCATCCAGACAGCAAGAAAACTGACTAAAACGCATCTAAAACTTGCAGTGTTATGCTAGAGTCTTGCGGCTCCCAACTTAAAAACAGATCCCGTAATTTTATTTTTCCCTCTCTCCTTCCATCCCCAGGAACTCCAGAGAAACGAGACTGGTCTAGTCAGAGACATTATTATTCCAGAGCGGGCTGCCTGTCACAATCTTTCTGGACACCTCTCACTGCCGGGTCTGAAGGCTGCTGCAAACCTTCGTTTGACTGCAGTACGCACTTCTGAGTCATCAACCACCAAAGAAACTGCTTCACTTCCTCTACTTTCTCTCACACAGCTGGTGTTTGCTTGGCTTATCTTGGCCTCTGAGTATGGGAAGTGAGGGGCAGAATACCAGAACAGATCACTGGCCTGCTGAAGAAGTCTCTGTAATTACCACCTGGTAGCGGGGTATTCCAGATCTGATGGCCCTGAATGTGCGAGGATACTTACATAATAGAAAATTGTCTCCCTTTGGAAGAAATAGTTTCAACGGGCATTGGCAGTTATTTTATTTTCATAAAAAATACTTTCTAGTATAGTTTGTTCTAAATCAGAAAAGCAATGTACTATAATGCAGTGAAGACAGGAATACAGTCACCTCTTCAATAGCTGCTGCTGCTTAATTATTAAATCCAGAGCTTTCACAGATGGGCTGGTATATGTATTTGCTCACTGGCATTTCAGTAATCATTCTCTAGTCTCAAGCTATCTACATACTCCCTGTACTTAGGTCAGTATAGAAAACTAAGCTCCTTAGTTATTAAATAATGCATTTGATTCTAAAACTAGTCCTGCCATATCCAGCAAGAAAGTGTATTTTCCAATGACTGCATGGCAGAGAATTTACCTGCTGATTGACAGGTAATAATGAGACAATGACTTGGTGTTTACTGAAAAATAGACCTTATACACTGTCACATAGCAAACCTATGAATTCCAATTTTACAAAAGCTAAACCATTTGCTGTTCTCTTTTCTTGTATTTTTCCCCAATGTATACATGAGAATTAGAAGAGCAAATCTGATGATAGTTATGTTTTTTGCCATCATACTGACTCTTCCGAATTTCATATTTCATGCTGGTGCTTTCCAACAAATTCTCTCCCCACTTTCCCCAAGGCAGAGTCTCTGCTTATTTTGACAATAATTAGTACATCAGGTAAAAACGCCCTCAGACTTCAAAAGCAAGCATCACAAAACATCACAAAAAGAGTGATTAGGAGGGTAACTAATCACGCAGAGCAGATTCCTTCCTCGTTGGGCTGATGAACATTTATTAGCTAGTAATTATCTTGGCTAAAACTGAAGCATGGACAGAAAAAAAAAAAAAATTTGCCTTGAAGGCGAGCTCATGAAGAGAATCCACGAGATTCCAACAGAATCATCCAGACACCCAGAGCCATGTTCCAGATAAAACATACATTACTGAGATCATTGTGCTGGGCTTGGAAACATGATCTTCATTCTCACTAAACATTTTCCCCTTCAAATTCCTATGGGAATACATCACATTCCTTCTCACTCACAGCATAGCCAAGTCACAGCAAGGCCAGTAGTACTGAGTGACAAATTCATCCTCCCTTGTACTTAATGAGGGCAACACCCTTTAGGATAGGATAGGATAGGATAGGATAGGATAGTTCCAGTTGGAAAGGACCTACAATGATCATCTAGTCCAACTGCCTGACCGGACCGGGGCTGACCAAAAGTTAAAGCCTGTTGTTAATGGCATTGGGCTGACCGAAAGTGAAAGCCTGTTGTTAATGGCATTGTCGAAATGCCTCTTGGGGCATCGACCATGCCTCTAGGAAGTCTGTTCCAGTGTCTGACCACCCTCTCAGTAAAGAGCTTCCTAATGTCAAGTCTGAGCCTCCCTTGACACAGCTTTGAGCCATTCCCACGCATCCTATCACTGCATCCCAGGGGGAAGAGATCAGCACCTCCCTCTCCACCTTCCCTCCTCAGGGAGCTGTAGAGAGCAATGAGGTCGCCCCTCAGCCCCCC